TTATGCATGTTTTTTTTTTTTAGTAGCTCTGCTTGTGATGCACATTCCAAATAATGGAAAACGTAGCACCTTGTGGAAATATGGCTGCAGGGTAAAGGTAATTACAGCTCTCTAGTGGCCGACTTAACCAGAGAATCACTGAGCAAGGCCATGATTTTTGAGGACACGCAAGCTGCTGTTGTGTTGGGAAGCTAGCAAAGCCATCGGAATACTGTTTTTATGGCTGCCATAAGCGTAATGGAGAGACTCAAAGCACCCCTTTATCTGCGGTGGCAGCAGCGTAATGACAGTTGGACTCCATCATGGGTATCGCGACTCTATCAGTGAAGATGTTACATCATTGAAATGACTCTCTACCCAGGGTGGCCCCGCTAAAGAGGATGTCGACGCAAGTGTACTGTGAAATCACCAAGAAATAATACGACAATGTAGCAACTCTAGCGTGTGCAGTATTAGGCCAGCTTTGGATGCTGGAATGACAATGTGTCTTTATTTCTCAGTCTCTTTATTAAGAACGGTACAAAATTGTCTACTCACCGATGCATTTCTTTCGTTTTTGTCGTCTAGCTTTCCTTATTTGCTGAAATACTCACTTGTTAGCCTCGGAAAGTGAAAACGAGTGAGGAGGGAAAAGTTTGGTTTTAGGTCTTTCGAGCAGTACATTCGTTACATTTTTCCTCTATTTGCTAACGTTTATCATCATGAGAGAATGCCAAAGGCTGAGCTTAATGACTTGATACCATTTGTGTGAAGTGCTAGCTAGTGTGCATTTGTTTACCCACGTGTGATGTCACGTCACTTTGTCCTTACGTGTAATTTAGGCTAGTAATAATAGCTAATAATATTGATGTGTTAAATACAACCGTCTTTCCTTTGATCATCTCTTTGCGTCGACGGGTTTGTCAATTAATCGTGTTTTTTTTCCGCAATTTGAAGCATGCCTTGGTCCCTCCCTATCCTCTTCAAAAGCAAGAGTTCATGTACAACACACTTGTATGCTTACAGTTTTAAAACCAAAATTAATCCTGCCCCGGCCAAGTGCTACAGTACATTTTTATATGTTGAATGTTGAATATTTTTTGCTGTTCCGGTAATTGAAACAAGGAAGTAGCAAAAAAGAGACGCAGTCGAGATATTCATGATATTGGAAAAAATACGCAAAATGTAACTGATACCTCTGATTTAATTACATAATGGTGAGGATTTTTTTTCAAATTCATGTAATCAAGTAATATTTCCTTTGATGTTGGTGAAGCAGCATGAAGTTCATTGCCCAGAGTTTTTTTCTGTATTCTTCGTGAGCTAAAGGTGTTTAGTGCTGTTGTGCAAGTCAGAGGACCTCATGCAGTTCTGCATTCTGTAAGTCTGCTCTATGCAATCTCTCATCTTTATTGCGTGGAATACATTGGCAAAAAAATAAGACGCTTGTGCTTTTCATTGTTCATTACATTGATGAACAAAATTTGGCTATTTAAAAAAAAAAGAATAAGTCAATCATGGAAAAACTAAATACTTTGTTGAAAGTAATACCTCTGAGCACAAACTCATTAAAGCCCGAAAGCTAATAGTTGTTCTCAGTAATGTATTGAGGCAATGAGGCCTTTTTGCTGTCTCATTGCCATTTCTTTGTAACCTTCACACGTTACGAGCAAATCCTCCCATCTCATCTGATTGTGCGTCATCAGATGTGGAACGATGCTAAACAAAGGCTGTCGCAATAATTGCAACCCGCGCCCACAAGATGAGATCAAGGAATTTCCAGAAATTTTCCAGTTCGTTTAACAATCAGCCCCCCCCCCCATCCCCTTTCCCTCCCTCCATACCCGCTCACTGCGAGCTGACAGCTTGAAGGATGTCTCAAATTTTTTATTATTTTTTTTAACCAACTTCCCTCAACGTCCTCGCTCCTCGCCGCCACTTCAAAGCATTTTCCCCTATTGCCTTTCATTTCCGAGGCTTCTGACAGCCTGCCTGGAATGAAAAAAAAAAAAAAAAAAGCCCCCAACAGCAGCTTCATCGATCAACACTATATCTAAATTTGGCGAGATTGTCTTTCATGACAAGACACTCCAAAACATATCATGGGCCTGTTTCCAGAAATGAAGTAGCAGTCTGCCGGTATGGTAATAGAAGCAATTTTTGACCAATTCCAACAGGTGGTACTTCAACCAACTCCCCCCCTCCTCCAATGGGATTATTTATCATGACAGGAGGTGTGCAAAAAGTCTCAAGGATCTGTTTCCCAAAATAAACAGGAAGCCACTCCTGGGGCAGGACAGATGAGCCCAAGAAGAAAAAAAAGCAGGAAAAAGTCTCAAGGCTCCATTAGCTAAAATGGAAGGTCATCCATTTTCGTTCTTTGTCAATTGTTGTTTGAGCTATTTCCAAAAGGTCGTACTTCAACTCCTCAAATGTGATTCAGTCAAATGAGCCGAAGTTAGAATCGGAAACATCAGACAACTAGGCCATGGTCACACGAAATTACAGACACTGAAGAACTTTTTGCGCCACTGTATTCTTGCGTTGACTCTATACTCTCGCGCGTCAATGGCCAGGTAATTTAGGGGAGTGTCTTCGTGATTGATGCCAGGAGCTGCAGTCTGTTGGTCTATAATTGAGCGTCTGGGTGCGAGTTGGCAGCCGGCGCCGCCTTCTTGCGAGTGTTTTCCTTTTGTACTTATGCTTGGCTTTTTATTTTGTTCATTATATGGCTCAAAGTGCGTTGATGACATCGCCTGTCCTTGTCCATAAGCAAGGGCAAAGTGCCTTAGTTAGGATAAAAACCTTCGAAATTAGGGCACTTAGAACTAATTGTTATTATTTTGTTGAAAAGTTGGCTCGCTCTCCATTTGCTTTCTCTCACTGGATTTGCGCAGTCTTGGCGGAAAACTTATTGGGTCTGAAGTAATTGCAGTCACTGCCAAGTCGTCCATCTATCAGGCCTCCAGAGACTACACAAACAAGTTTATATCGATCAAAGTCCTCACAATGGACAAAAATCCATCATTTCATCCATCATGTAGATCCCAAGTCTGTTGACAGCCACATTGAAGCACCCTGCCTCCATCAGGAGGGAGTGCATATTGGGGGTGCACTCCAAATTGGCCCCGCCCCTCCCCATCCGAAGATTGAGCGAAGTACATTCACTTTGCATTCGCCCACTGACCAAATACTGATCCAATAGCTCGTAACAAACGCTGACCATTTGAGCCCGCGCTGCGCGATCCAAACGGACAGCACGTCGGCGTATGTGGGAGGAAGAGTGAGAAATGAGAGAATCTGTCATTTTTCTGCCCCCTTCTGCTCTCCCACCACCATTTCATGACTCATCCAGAGCCTGCTGATAAAAACACTCCGACCACTCGAACCGGCTCCGCTTGTCCTTGTGCTGTAAGCCTCACAAGTGTCCAATAGAGTCTCAGCTATCATTGACCGTGACTGCCTGACACCTTGCGGCACAGCTGTTTGTTTTTAGCCGCCGCCGCAGGGGGTGCTCTTCATCTAGGCTGAACTGCCAACACAGCAGGACTCGCTGAAAACAATTAGAGTTGCTTTCACACGGTTTAGAATTCAGGAGCTGCTAAAAAACAAAAAAAAAAAAACACCTGCCACCAGCTTATTTAATCAATACAACATTTTGTGGGCTTGTTCATAGTGTTGGACTGCATAAAACAGTTTCAAGGACCTGAATTTGAAAATGGACAGGAAGTTTGTCATCTTGGCTAAAATATGGCAATTTTTGGCCAGTTCCTATGGGTTGTACATGACAAGATCCATGACAAAGTCTCACAAATCCGTGCTGTAAATAGTACAGGAAGTCAAGACTTTTTGCGGGGGCTGTTCCATGGGGTCCGACTTTAACCAAGCCCTCCAAGACAATTCAGCCAAATGAATTCAAGCTGGAATCAGGGATGGGGCGTCATCGAGGTTTTCATTTTACAATGCAGTATGTGGGCTGAGCCTTTTGACACGCCACGACACATGAATTTCAAGTATGAATCACGACAACCTTTTTACTGTCTGATTGTAAAACTACTTTTTGCTTTCCTGTGAATCACGGAACTAATAATTTTTATAAACATTGTTTCTGAGAAGTGCTTCACATTTGTGGTTCGTGGAATCCACTAACTACTGGCAATCAGGGCCACTTGAATTATATTCCGCAGTTTTGATTCAAGTCAAGTCAAATTTATTTCTACATCCCGTTTAATCAAAGAAAAGTCTGAAAGGGCTTCACATGCTCACAGTTGACAAATATTAACGACATCTCCTGATCTTGACCCCCAGGAGGACAAGGAGCCTCCGCCCACCCAAAAAAACCCAAACAAAAAAAAAAAAACATCAGGGGAAAAATGAGAAACCTTGAGAAGGGGCAGCAGATGGGGGAATCCCCCTTCCAGGGTGACCAGGCAGCAATGGATGCACAGAGGGGCAACATTAAATGCAAAATGCTGCTATACAATGTCAGTTAGAATAATGTAAGAGTCAATTTAATAAGATCAAATGCTGCATGAAGACACCTCAAAAGCCCCACTGGTTGGTCAATAAAGAAATCTCCATTCCAGTACCTTTATGTAGTTGGTCCACCTCAGATCTTTTCCAGATCAGTCTGACCAGAATCCGTACAGCAACATCCAATTGGGTCTTTGATGTGCCACTCACTTTTTTTTTTTTTTTTTTTAAACACACTCGTATATTCACAATAAAACTGCACAGACAGTAAATATGACAAAATGGGGTGGGCAAAAATATTGATATCGCAATGTATCCTCTCACTATGCTAAAGTCAACAACCAACATGAAATGATTCAAACCACAAAGCAGTCATCAGATAAAGTTGATACATTTGTGATCCTATTAATTTTTTTGATTATATGTAGGTTTAATGCGTGTGTGCGTGTGTGCGTGTGTGCGTGTGTGCGTGTGTGCGTG